ACTACGTATTTTTGGATTTTTAGTTAATTTAATTGGTGATTGTTGGAATTGAATTTTACGGGCACGTTTGACTTTCTATGCATAAATTTAATGTTTTCACATAATAAATTCTGTAGTTGATGGGTGCTAATATAGTGTTTTGGTGGGTTTAATGCAAATTGGTAGTATTTGGGTTGGAGCAGAAACTGTGCACATTAGATTTGGAGTGAAGGCCAGAGCTCTGATGCTCAAGGGTGTTGAAGAGCTTGTTGAGGCAGTTAAAGTTACCATGGGTTGCAATGGTAATTAATTTTAATATATATTCTACTGGTATCTATTTATTCAAGTTTATATTTAGTTTTCACGTTGTTTCAATTTTTTTTGCTTTTTATCTCTACTTTAAGTTGTCTTTCTCTGGTTTATTAAAATTGTAGCTAACTAAAGTTTTAATTGTTTCAATTAGTGAAGGTGTCATGTAGTGATTGGGCAAAGTTGGGGTGCCCCTAAAGTGACAAAGACCTGTATCTCCGTGTCGTGCACCGAGGCACGAGAATGTGCCTCCGCATGAGAATAAAGTGACAATGACTCGGGTCTCCGTGCACAGCATGAAGACACAAGGGTGTGTCTCCGTGTCGCGCACTGAGACACAGCACAACGTCGTGTCTCCGTACGCGCGCGGGGAGATTTGCTATGCCTCCGTGCGCACGCACGGAGGCACGAGAACGTGTCTCCATGCGCACGCACAGAGATGTGGTGTGTCTCCGTGCGCGTGCACGGAGACACATGTAATGCCCCGAAAATTTTAAAATAGAATGTGATTTAATTTTGTATACTATATTTTAATATTTTGAAAGTTATGGACTAAAATGATACTTTTATTAAAATCAATTTATTTGGGACAAATATTTAAGTATTGATAGAGTAATGATAAATATATCAATATTGGTCTCGTTGGATAGACAGTAATTAAATACATAATTTGGGCTCGAAAAACAGTCGATTCGAATAAATCAGTTCCAAGATATTACAATTCAAAGAAATTGTTAGAAAACTATTTTTCTATTATTATTTTAATTAGAACCTTGGATGTAAATGTAGTGCCACCACGTGTATGGTAATGTATTGCATTTGAGAGATTTTGTTAGTTGAC